TATTAGAATTGTTAAGCCACCCAGAGTCACTTGGCTGAGTTGGGTGGGTATAGATAGTGAGTGTGGTGAGGGAGAAAGAGAGAGAGAGAGAGAAAGAAGGAGAGAGAGAGAAAGAAAAAAGAAAGAGGGAGAGATAAAAAGTGTGAAGGAGAGAGAGAAAGAAAAAGAAAGGGGGAGGAAAAGAGAGAAAGAAAGGGAGGAAAGAGAAAGAAAAAAGAAGAGGGAGAGAGAAAAAGAAAAAGGGTATGAAGGAGAGAAAAAGTAAAAAAGAAAGAGGTGGAGGAAGAAAGAGAAAATGAAAGGGAAAGAGAGGGAGATAGAAAGAAAAAGAAAGGGGAGAAGGAGAGAAAGAAAGGGGGACAAAGAAAGAAAAAGAGAAAGGAAAAGAGGGAGAAAGAAAAAGAAAGAGGGAGAAAGTGAAAAGAAAGAGGGAGAGAGAAAGAAAAAGGAAAAAGAAAGAAAGGGGAGAAAGAGAAAAAAAAGAAAGAAAGAGAAAGATTGAGAGAAAGAGAGAATCTGAACTGGAGCCGGTGCTGCTCTTTCTTACCTTCCCCTCTTGGCAGGTCCAACATGCCAGCATGCAGATCACGGCCGAGAATCAGTACAAGGGCATCATCGATTGCGTGGTGCGGATCCCCAAAGAGCAAGGGTTCCTCTCCTTTTGGCGGGGCAACCTGGCCAACGTCATCCGCTACTTCCCCACGCAAGCCCTCAACTTCGCCTTCAAAGACAAGTACAAGCAGATCTTCTTGGGCGGCGTTGACAAAAGAACCCAGTTCTGGCGCTACTTTGCCGGCAACTTGGCTTCCGGGGGCGCCGCCGGAGCCACGTCGCTCTGCTTTGTCTACCCTCTCGATTTCGCCCGTACCCGGCTGGCGGCAGACGTGGGCAAAGCCGGGATGGAACGTGAATTCAACGGCCTCGGCGACTGCTTGGTGAAGATCTTCAAGTCCGATGGGCTTCGGGGGCTCTACCAAGGCTTCAACGTCTCTGTCCAAGGAATCATCATCTACAGGGCAGCCTATTTTGGCATTTACGACACCGCCAAAGGTAACGGGAGTGGGGGAATGGGGTTTGTAGTCCTTTGCCCTGCCACCCCACTGCAGCTTTAAGGCAGCCTTGGCAACCATTTAAGATAGGTGGACTTCAACTCCCAGAATTCCCCAGGTAGCAAAGTTGGCTGAGAAGTTCTGGAGATTGAAATCCACAAGTCTTAAAGTTATCGAGGTTGGAGATTTCTGCTCTTAAGGTATTTTTTTTCCCCAACTTTAGCAACTTAAAGGTAGGTGGACTTCAACTCCCAGAATTCCCCAGACAGGAAAGTTGGCTGAGAAGTTCTGAGGATTGAAGTTCACAAGTCTTAAAGTTGCCATGGTTGGAGAGTCCTGCTCTTAAGCCATTTCCCCCCCCCCCAACTTTAGTAATTTAAGGTAGGTGGACTTCAACTTCCAGAATTCCCCATACAGCAAAGTGGGCTGAGAAGTTTTGTTTTTTTAATTTTATTTAATTTTATTATTTTAGAAAAAAAAATTGCCACCAATTTGCGCATGGCGACTCAAGGCGGCTTATGCGGATACAAAAACCATATAAAAGAAATAAACAGAATAAAAAGAAATATATAAAGTTCTGGGACTTGAAGTCCACCAGTCGTAAAGTTGCCAAGATTGGAGATCCCTTCTCTAAAGCAATTTTTACAACTTTAGCAACTTTACGATAGGTGGACTTCAAGTCCCAGAATTCCCCAGGAAACAAAGTTGGCTGAGAAGTTCTGGGAATTGAAGTCTGCAAGTCTTAAAAGTCGCCATGGTTGGAGAGTCCTGTTCTTAAGGTATTTTTTCCCCAACTTTAGCAACTAAAAGTAGGTGGACTTGAACTCCCAGAATTCCGTAGACTGGAAAGTTGGCTGAGAACTTTATTTTTTATTTCATTTTAGAAAATTTATAGTGCTGCCGACTCGCACATGGTGGCTCAAGGCTGATACAAAAAAACATATAAAAGAAATAATAAAAAGAAATATAAAATTCTGGGGATTGAAGTCCACCAGTTGTAAAGTTTCCAAGGTTGTAGACTTCTGCTCTAAGGCATTTTTTCCCTCAACTTTAGCAAGATTGAAGATAGGTGGACTTCAACTCCCAGAATTCCCCATCCAGCCACACCGACTGAGGAATTCTGGGAGTTGAAGTCCGCCTATCTTAAAGTTACCACGGTTAGGAAATGCCACTCTTAAATGTACCGTAATTAAGCAGAGTTTTTGGTTCCTTTACCCAGGAATGCTTCCCGACCCCAAGAACACTCACATCTTAATCAGCTGGATGATCGCACAGTCGGTAACGGCTGTTGCAGGCCTGACCTCATATCCCTTCGACACCGTCCGGCGGAGAATGATGATGCAATCTGGTCGCAAAGGAGGTGGGTATCTAGCTTTTCCAGTAGAAAAGAGCATTTGTACATTGAATGTGGAATCTTTGATGCTCTCTGAGCTTGGTGGTTTGCCTCTTTGGACTTTTCATGACCCAACTAGCTGGTAACATGATGTTACCTAGTTGGGTTATGAAATGTCTGCAAACCACCAAGGGCTCCATCTAGCTTTTCTTCCAAATATCCCTTTGTAGCTGTACTTAGCAGCTTGCCTTCTCCCTTGGGCATACACAGTAGAGAGAGAAACGTGTAACTTAAGAGAGAAAATTATGTTTTCTAAACAACAGGGATGTCTTCAGCAAGTCAGTTTTAATTCGGATCAGTGGAGCTGTTGATTTAGCTTTTAGAGGTGATCTCAGATCTGGTTGCTTTCTAACCAGAGATCCAAGGTGTTGTACATGCCAGGGGCCAGGATGTCTGATTCTACAGATGTTATAGGACTACAGTTCCCATCATTATTCTTTTTTTTTTCCCGCTTGGCTGACATTTCAAGTGCTTTAGAGGGTCACCAACAGCTTATCTCCACAGGGAAAAAATACTTTCCTAAGGGACAACGACACTGCTTTAAGGAGATGATTGAAGGCTCAGGATTGACCGTCTGCCCTTAGCGTCAATAAACATATGATTTAATCAGACTTCAGATGTCTAAAATCTGGGTCATTTATTCATTATTTGCACCACTCCATCAATACCACCAATTGCAACTATGATTCATGGATAAGCTGCCTTGTGTTTAAGCAGATGAAAATGTAATCCTTTGGCTTTCTAAATTTATTTATTTTTAAATGCATTTGAAACTCCTGTTGGGCTAGTCTTGAAAACCCTCAATCTTCCTCTACATCACCTACATTAAGAACTTGTTCATTATTCTGCATTACTTTTTGGTCAATTAGCTATGTTCGAAACAAACTTCTTCCATGACAATGGAAGACAAAATAAAGTTAGCCGCTAAATATTCCCCTTTTAGAAAAACCTCCTCTCCTGTATTAATAATGACTCATATTGAGCTGAATGGCCACCTGGAGAAGCCCTAAGTCAAAAGGGGGGGAAAAATTACATTTTCAGCTCAAACATTTTCCCTGAATTTGTTGCGAAAGGTTAAAAAGACCCTAATAGTTTGTCATTAGGAGTTGAACTCTCTTTGATGTAATTTATGAATTGTCCTTTCTCTATAAAGATGACATTGGATTCTTACCGTAGTTCTGACTGGTTGAATTTGGCAGGAGCATGCTGTGCGTGGTTGCAACCTTAGCCAATCAAAAGCATCTTCTTCATCTGGCTATCCTCTTTGGATTCAGTTCCCAGAACTTGCACTGATGATGCTTAAAATATTACAAGGAGGCATCCCATTTCCCATTCATCTCAAACCATCATTTAGTCCAGTGTTTTTCAACCTAAGCAAGTTTGGGATGCATGGACTTCAACTCCCACAATTCCCCTGCCAGCAGGGTCTTCTGGGAGTTAAATGTCCATGCATCTTAAAATGGTGAAGTTTGAGAGAGAGAGAAAAAAATTGACGTAGTTTGAAGTTAACGCCTTATTTATCTCTCTTCCCTTTCCTCTGTTTCTTCCGTGCTCCATTTTAAATTGTGTTGTCAGGGCAGAAATGTTTCTGTTCTAAAAAAATAATTTATTAGGACCCCCAAAGGTGCTTTACCTGGAGGAAACTTGTTTGTTTGGTTTTTTCTTTTGAAGATGTTTTGCTTCTCCTCCCAAGAAGCTTCTTCAGCTCTGACAGAATAGTGGGGAATGGAAGCTTCTGCTAGAGTTGAAGAAGCTTCTTGGAGAAGCGAAATGTCTTCAAAAAACAAACAAGTCCCAGTTGCCTCCTGGAAAAAGAAAAAAAAAAAAGCACCTTTGGGATAACTACGACCTGGAGGATGGAGAATCTCTCCGGACAATTTGTTAGGATGTCAGCGTTCCAGAAAACCTCCACTCCAACAAATAACTCCGAGACAGACCATCTTCTCAGAAGTTCTGTTTTATTTGGATAGTAAACTGGCACATCTGGGGAATCCCAAATCTGAAAAGTTCCGGACTTCTTTGCAATAAGTAAAAAATTACAAATCCACCCCCTGTACCCATCATTGCATCACATGACCCAATCACCATCCGTCCCAACTTGAGACACCCTCACCCAGGTGCAGAAATGACATGACCTTGACTTAGAAAAAGAATGCTATTGTGTCTAACCACATACACTCCAAGAAAGTCCCCCCCTCCCATTTTCCCAGGCTCAAGAATGTGGCAGTGTGGAAGCATCCGGTGTCAATATGGCTTCCAAAGCTTATATAAGATTTCTCTAGCACTAGCCAAGCCGCAACAGTATCAACAGTGGAGACTTTGCAACCCAACAGGACAGACACAGACTCCAGAGAGTAGTTAGGACTGCACAAAAAACAATTGCTACAAACCTGCCTTCCAACCTGTACACTGCACAAGTCCAAAAGAGGGCTGTGAAAATATTTAGAGACCCCTCACATCCCGGACATAAATTGTTTCAACTCCTTCCCTCAAAACAACACTGTAGAGCACTGCACATCAGAACAACTGGAAACAAGGACAGTTTTTCCCCGAACGCCATCCCTCTGCTAAACAAATAATTCCCACAACACTGTCCAGCTATTTACAAAGTCTGCACTACTATTACTATTAATCTTCTCATCACTCCTTATCGCCCACCCCTCCCACTTGTGACTGTATGACTGTAACTTTGTTGCTTGTATCCTTACGATCTATATTGACTGTTTCCCAGTATGATTTGATTGCTTATTTGTACCCTGTCACTATCATTAAGGGTTGTACCTGATGATTCTCGACTCTTGATGAATGTATCCTTTCTTTTTATGTATACTGAGAGCATTTACACCAAGGCAAATTCCTTGTGTGTCCAATCACACCTGGCCAATAAAGATTATTCTATTCTATTCCATTCCATTCCATTCCATTCTATTCTTTCCCTGTTCTATTCTATTCTACTCTACTCTCGTCCCCTATTCTACTCTACTCTACTCTACTCTACTCTACTCTACTCTACTCTACTCTACTCTACTCTCGTCCTCTACTCTACTCTACTCTACTCTCGTCCCCTATTCTACTCTACTCTACTCTACACTACTCTACTCTACTCTCGTCCCCTACTCTACTCTACTCTCGTCCCCTATTCTACTCTACTCTACTCTACTCTACACTACTCTCGTCCCCTACTCTACTGTCATCCCGTATTCTACTCTATTCTATTCTATTCTAAATGGGCCCTGCATTATTGCCAACATTGGATGAATTTAATTGCTCATTTTCTCTCTCTCTTTTTCCCCCCAGCTGACATCATGTATTCTGGAACAATTGATTGCTGGCGGAAGATTGCCCGGGACGAAGGCGGCAAAGCATTTTTTAAGGGCGCGTGGTCCAACGTCCTCAGGGGAATGGGCGGTGCTTTCGTCTTAGTCTTGTACGACGAAATCAAGAAATATACATAAGCTGGAACGCCCCCATCCCCACCCCTTCCCACTCCTTAGACGACCCTTCCCACGTAATATTCCATGGACTTGCATCTAAAACTATTTATCGTTTCCCTCCCGGGTTGGCGTCTCTTTACTTGACGGAGAGGCCCTGATTTTTTTCCTGCCTGATCCCCGTTCTCAAGTCATTCCTTCGACGATGGGACTCAAACTTTATTTTTATTCAGTCACTCCTGTTAAAATAAGTTTGAGAAATAAAATGGAAGAAGGAAAAAAAAAACAACCCCGGCACCCAAATTTTGTTTGTTGATTTCCTCCTTCTCTTGGATAATGAACAAAATGTTTTGCTGGAACTGCGTGATAGATAATAATGGTAGATATAGTAGAACTTCTCCAGCTGTTCTAAGCAGAGGGGGTTGGACTAGAAGACCTCCAAGGTCCCTTCCAACTCTGTTGTTCTATTCTGTTACTCAACTGCAATTCCCAGGTGTTCAGTTCATGCTGAATAATACAGGTGATTCTGGATTTATGAGCATTCACTTAGTAATTCTTCAAATGGAAGAAAGTGACCATTTACAATTGTGACAGTGACACCTGCAATTACACAACCATTGGTAAAGAGCCAGTTGGGCTAATGGTTAAGGTACAAGGCTAGAAACCAGGAGACTGTGAATTCTAGTTCTCCCTTAGGCATGAAAGCTGACTGGGTGACTGAGCCAATCACCAGGTGAGTTCTAGTCCTGCCTTAGGTACAAAAGTTACTTGGGCGATTG